ACACACACACACACACGAGTCCATAACTTTAGCACTTCCTATAACTTTTGGACTGTTAAAGTTATTGCAATGCAATAATGATATGCGTCGTCATTGCCAACAATATTTTTGGCAATGACAACGCGTATAATTATTTCATTAGAAATGCCAACGATAACTCACCACACCTACATTGCAATGCAGTTTACACGGGTCAGATCAGTCATATTTGTCCGAAAGGATAGGGGTGGCTACTCAGGAGTGTAGCGGCATTCCACATCGCGGCCACAAAGAACTGTGCTACTAGGGGCTATTATCAGACTAGTGACCATCTGGTATTCTTATATTAAAAAAAAGGCCTCGTAGGCACTTCCTAAACTCTGGAAGAGAGTGGAAGAATCAATATGTGCTTACTGCAATCGAAGTCAAATTAAAATTGCAAGAAAAAGTTTTGAACCTTCTTTTTTGTAAATAAAGGCTTACGACTTTAGCTTTGTTCCATAGCTTAAAAAACCAGGAGGAGAAAATGTTACAATCAGGGTATAAACTTGGGTTTTTATAACATGGAGCGCGAAGGCCGGTCTTCATTTTGGATCTTTCTCAGTTGTGCCATTAATGTCGCATGATTGCGAACGTATCAAGCCATTACCATCTATTATCAATTCACCCTAAAAAAATCCTGATGTAAACAAATGCACCTATGCTACAATTAGTCTAATTGGTTTGCTCTGCTGTTGTAGGAATCCTAACGCAAAAGTAAATAGTTCTCTGTATAAGAACTAATCTATTTGCCGTCGTTCGTTTGCGTCAAAACTAATGTGTGGCTGGCCCTTCAACAATTAAACGCAAGTGTAGAAAATTTCTTCATAGTAGCGAAAAGAACAAATTTCGCACTTTTCAATTCGTTGTTGCATACGAATCCGTCGTTACTGGTGAAGAAAATTGCAGAGATCACTGGATTACTCATAACCAGAGTATTGAAATTCCAGAAAGAGCTCACCGACAAAGGACAACAACAAACACCAGAAAGAAAGAAAAAAAGGGGGGGGGGAAGAAATCTGTGATTGAAGCATACAATAGCTTTGTAATGAGTGCTGTTCGATCGAAGTGCATTCCTTGCACCAAAAGGGCAAAAGTACAGAAACGAAAAACGCTTGCTTGCGAAATTGTGATCAAGAACGAGTTTGCATGCATCACAGGGGCTAGTCCAACTCCTGTTAAGTGTCCTAAACCCTACCCAATCCTAAGTCCTTCCCAATTTTGTCTGCTGAGTATTGACGGAGGGGCGCGTTACTACGCGGAGATGCTATTTGGCGGTCCTCGTGACAACAGACTGCGACGAGACGTGATGGATATGACAATATTATTAATTAATGGAGGATTACTCCTTGATAATAATGGAGTCCGGAAACGCAAAGCGCTCAATGCCTCCCGGGTATTGAATGAACATAACATTTGCACGACACCTCTTTATTCCATGAATTGGCGGGGTATGCTACTCGCTTCATCGGAAATAGTTCGCCAATATGTCCAATCAGAAGCGTAGTACGACGGGAAAATTTCTTCAGTTTGTGTACATTAGGTTTTTACTTAGAGGTGAATGGATAATAGGTACCATCTATATCGAGAAGTTATTATCCAAGCCCTGCTTGCGATCATGCTGCTTTTAGAGGCCTGACCGAGGAAGACGCGAAATGCCGTAAGATGTTCCATCACGAAGACAGGCATTGTTATAAAAATCACACTACAAAATTGACTATCCCATCCCCAACTGTCTTAATTATGCAGACAACCGGGTCACGACGAGGAGGTAGATGTTTGGAAATGTTGGAAAACCTTCACGAGTTCTTAAAATGGCGGCCTGAAATAAATTTTAGTAAAACGGACTATCCAGTTGTAGAAGCCAAGACTTAACGAGCCAGAATGTTACTTAAAAAGATATCCCAATAACGGTAAATGGGGATAGAGCACAACACATTCTAAGTAGAATATCATAACAGAAAATAAATGTAAGGCTATTGGATTATACAGATTCAAACTCTGAGAATGACTATTGTATAGAGTATTGCCACATATGGGTCAGAAGTTTGGGAAATATTGAAAGGTAACAAGAATCAACTTACAGGAATGGAAATGGGCTATTGGCAAAGCTGTCGATTGACATTGTTGGACAAAGTAAGAAATAAAAGCACGTTTCAACATTATTAATATTGGAATTAAAAGGCCCAAATGGTATGGTCACCCGAACTGAATGGGTGAAGAACGATTGCTTTAAAGCTCTGGAATTGGAAACCAGTCATGCAGAAGACTAGGAAGAAAGGAGTGGATAAATCCAGAAATTCATGGAAAATGTGGAGAAGGCGATGTCTAGCAGAGAATTAATGCACAAGATAGCTAGAGGCTTCACTGAAAACTGGGATGTGAGACACCTAATAGAATAACACTGCAGTACTATATATTTAGTATTATCAAATGCCAGAACTTGAGTTATATTCATTGGTATTGGATTGAGAGAGGCCCCGCTACTTTATACAAAATCTATTTCATTCAATACACTTGTTTAAAAAAGAAATAACTTAGGTTGAAATGATTCACTTCAAAATATCTTCTTGCAAAATGCCATTAATAAATATAGAAATCTAATTCCAAATGTTTATTCCATTAATGGCAAAAATCTTTCAAAATGTCTCAGAAAATGTAGTGAGAGACTTTTGACACTCAGATGTATGATGCAGTGTGCACTGCAAATAACTCAATAAGAATGTGCCATTTAGCAAACATGTATGCAATTGAATTATGCAGAATAAAAGTAGTGGACTTTCAATAAGACAGCAGAATCTGATTTTTGAAATATAAATTTTTATGTACAATGTCAGAATATTGCTTTACATTTGGACATACTCCATCCTTAAAATTAAAAAATAAGGGGAACTTTGTAGGAAATAAAATCCCCTCAGGATCTACTGTCCCTGTTTTCGCTGGACGCAACACTATCCTGTTTATAGCAATGGGTTTCATAACATTTTTAAAAATACTGACTTGCACTAATAGTGAAAAGAATTAATACTGAAGCTTTTCAACACTACAAAAGAATACCTATTGTACTATTTAAAAGTAGAGTACCTTTTGAGGAAGCATACCAGATATTTGAAAATAATATCTTGCTTTGCACCACAAGAAAGCTAAATTTAGACATTCTTCCAACAGAAAATATCAAGAAACAATCATAAAATACTTTGTTATTCCATAAAGAATTGTAGTAAACATTAAAATCCATAGCACTTGCTAACGCTCAACTAACAATTCATCCCAGAAGGATTTAGGGTCAACAACACAGAACATTAACAACCCATACAATCCTTCTTTTTGCCATAAACATTTTATATGAAAACTGGTGATATTTCAATCATACACAATGACATTTGCTATCTCATCCTCTATAAATTATGTATAAGACAACTGTAGATGTACATAAGAACTTACCTGCTGGAAATATTTAGGAAGGTGAAAACAAACCATAAGGACAAAAAGAAAAGTTGCAAAGGAAGAGGCCAGACGAAATACAACTGAAGTTTACTTACAGGGTTCACACAGAATTTGTACATTTGATGAAATGTTGCAAATAATTTTAAAGGTTGCTCCACACATTTGCCAAGCAGCAAGCTTCTGCTCACGCAATCCTGAGCAGTTGATGTGTTTAGCGAATGTTCACTTCCTTCAAGATGTCCAATAGACAGGACATGCGGTGGGTACGACAAAAATCAAAAGTTGGTCACTCAGAATAAGGCAAGAAACCCATCCACACTGTTCAGGATTTGGTGAGCAGTCGCTGAATAGCATATGAGCAGAGCAACCTTAAAAGGATAAATCAGTTTGCCATCTGTAAAGCAATTGTTTGCAGAACATAGCATGTAATGGCAATGAATTAGGCAAGCATAGTGAATACAGAGGGCAATCAACTGTGAACTTATCTTCTAAACAAAAAAGAATATGTCTAATAATCTATGTCAACTATGCATTCAACTGACTTAGGCATATTTTTGCTTAATGCATAGGTCAAAGCCTTGTTAAACAACACGTTGCGTCGAGTCAGGAGTGAAATGCTCAAAAAAGTACTGTGGAATAAAATGTGTTAGTGGTATTTTAAGCCTAAGGCTGAAAACTGGATATTTGTCACCTATAGAGAACTTAAGGTTTGAAATTTAAAATACTCCATTCGGCCCATGCATTCCCAAAAACAATACTGACACTAGTAAAAAAAAATGGCACATACTCCCAGTAAGTAAACCACATCCAAATGACTCCCCTAAAAGAGTGAAAATGGATTTGACCAACATTTATGTGCCCCACCACAATTTCTGGTCCAAAATATCTTTACTACTGACTTTACGCAACAAGATCTCATACAGAGAAAGAAAGACAGAATTTCTCAGTGAATTTGCCTTGAAAAATTACATGAATATAACTATAACATTTACTTTCAAAAATATTTCATTTTACAGATATAAAATTCTGCATAAAACGGTGTTGGGGTCCACCAGAGGCCTTAACCATGTGATGTACTTACAGGTTCATGTTGAGAATTATTCCATAGTTTTATTGAAACTCCAATTCCTTGCACCGTGAGAAGGTAAATTTAGCACAAATATCTCCACCTTGTCAATTTCTGGTTAAACATGTCAGGAAAATAACTCCACTAAACAGATTTTTTTTCCAATACCACAGCCTGCAGAACAACTGACTGTCAGGATATAATTTTAATTTCTACAAACAGAATATTCCCTTCTCATGTATCATGAACGAAGCACTAATAGCCAAAACCCAATTTACAAAATCATCCATCCAATAAAATTTTCATCATAGTACACCCAAAACATTTCAAGGCTAAGAGAATTTGAACGCACAAAATTGCTTCCAATAACAGATTTAACATTAACAATTCAGGGAAACCAATTCAATGTCTAACAGGAATGAAAATGAGGTATATTGGCCCTGGGGTATTTTCAAATTGAAATTGGTGACATCAAGTACAATATAATTACTTTTCTAGAGCTAAGAACTATGAGTAACTAGGCCACTGACTAAACTTACTTTTAATATGATGAAGTGGATACTTCTTACACAATGGTCAAACTCATCTTGCACACAAATTTTAAAACCCAGAAAAAAAATAAAATAAAAGTCAAGAATTCAGAAGCTGTTTATTGGAGTCACATTTTTGTTATTGGCACAAAAATTAAAATTTCCATAATTTCATGATATATTTCAAACAGAACAATGTGAGTGTCCCACACAGAACAAGGCAAGGTTCCAATGCAATGATAAAATTACAAAAATATACAATTAATCCCCATGTGATATATACAAAGAAAAATTACAACTATCAAATACAAGCTGACCCCAGAGGTTTACCTAGGGGTGGCCAATAACAAAATTAAAAACAAAAAAACAAAACATGCTTCAAGTTTACTGCTGACATTTCAATAGCATCAATTTGGGCTAAACTACATGGTTAATGCTGCACTTCCCCAGAAAAAAAAACAACTGGAAGTTACATTCCACATATCCTGATAGAGGATACAATAAACCTAACAGTCTCAATTTTCTTTCACTATAAACCCCCCCATAGATCAAATGCGAACACAATCTCAAAGGGCAGATTATTTTCGAGAATCACTCTCAGAACTTTGCAGAACATTTATGTGAAGACACCTGAATAACAGAAGGCTATGTCACACAGCTGCCCAGACATTTAATAAGGCACCTGGTTGAGTGCTCCTAAACTAACACAGTACAATATGGAATTTTGTGATGTGGTACCCAAATGCCAACAAGCCTTATATACGAATTTTTTTAACATTTTAGCGTGTTTGAAACATATCTCAGAACAACACAGTCTATGTGGGACACACATTACAGCAAGTCACATTTAAAAGAATGAAAATGGCTATTAGAGACCATTTAGGTTGTCAAGAATATCTGGCTAGGGAATTGAATAACAGACATAGCCAGTACCCCATTGTCACTCTTTTGTATGTTTATAGAAATACAAAGATATCTAAGAAATTAACAAAAACGTTTGTTTAAAGTCTCCGTAGTGAAACCACTTAGTAAACGCAGCTGTTGTCTTTCTTCACATAATTAGTTCCATCTAAAACTGCACATTTCAAAGTGACGATTTTGTACATCTTTGTATACTTTTACTTTTTCCCCGAGGGGTCTTAACATTGCAGGCTAGTGTTCCCAAACCATCAGTCACGTATCCTGCTCTTAAGTTCAAACGAGTAGTACGTGCATCATATGCAGGGGTAACACTGCTACACAAAACCAATCTATGCACAGCAAACAAATTCTCAAGAATCTGCTTGGGCAAATGCAAAAATAATCACCATTTAACATGACACTGCATTACCTAAATGGTAACAATGGAGAAGTTACTAAGAAAATCTTTTAGAGATACCAAATTTAACCCGGCAGAAACCTTGCATTAGATCTGAACACTGGACATGTACTCTCAGATCTCTGGACCTGAAACAATAATCTTGCATTAATTTACAAGGTATGATACAGGTAATGCAAATTGTGCATCGCAGGAACAGCACAGAAGCATGGTGGTATACCAGTCATTACTTTGATTAAAAGAAATTCCCAATTCACTTGGGATTAACAGAATAGTAGTTTTTAACTAGTTAGGAAACTAAAATTTACACACATAGCAAGAACATATCCACCAAAAATGTAAAGAATTTACAGCTAATAAATACAGCATTAACTCATGGGGAAAATGAAGAAAGATCTCTGATACACTGGGCATAATATATGGCGTTAAATTTTTGAAGGGGAAAAACTGACGGGGAAAAAAGAAATGACATCCGTAATATCTACAATGCAAACGGGGTATTATGTTGAATGGAGCTGATACAGCATGCCAAATGGGAAGATACTGCATAATTATGAAACAACCATAACATAAAAACATGACATAAGATTTACATTACTCTTAAAATAATAAAATACTTACTGTATGAAAAGGTTTCAATAACGTCTGTCTCTGGAATCTGAACGTGATCGCCTAGGTGATCGGCTCCTGGATCTGGATCGACTGTGAGAACGCCTACGTGGGGAACGTGACCTAAAAAGAAATCAATCATTTAACTTACAATGTATTTGGCATTTCCAAGTCTGATGAGCTGCTAAAACACCAGATCTGCAATAGCGCTGAGATGAAAAGGCACAAGAGCAATACCACTTCTCACTCTTTCACTACTGAATTTACATGAATACAAGACACATGAACAAAGCATTTACACAAATATTGACACAAAGCAGATAATCTTGATTGTTAGAAGTATATATCACAAGGTATTTTCCCTAAACAGACTAGACTTTTGTCATTTAAGAAGGTTTACAAGAATTCATTAATTTTGTTTAAGTCCGAAGACATCAAGACCAAAACATGCTTCACAGATAACACTAAATCTCAAAAATTTACTGACAATAGACACGAGACGCAATATCAAAATTTTTGATTAAAAGAAGAAGAGTCCAGCTTACTGTTCTCTAACACAGGCAAACAAGACCACTCTCACAGTCAAGTCAAACATCACTAAATTCATATATACATGCAAAACCCCGAATAATTTTTGCTTACCACACATTTAAATTAATTTTATCATACTCTTCAACAAATATCAGCCATCCATAATATAAGTACACAAACCTTTATTTATTCTGTAACACTTCATTCATGGCAGAACATATCAGTACCAATATGCTACTTAATGCACTATGGTGCACAACTATAGGCTCAAACATCAGGTCACACTATCAACATCAATGCAAGCAATTGGAAGGAGAAAATTATGAACCACACACACACACACAATCACTTTTGATGAAACCCCAGAGACGCATACCTATCTACCATAGGTAATTTAAATCCAGGGGAGCAAGTAGATTACTGCCACATTTGAATGCTGTATGCAGATTTCCTACTTTATACTCCCATTAACATGAAACAACATGAAAACCAAAGCAAGCCACTAAATATGTCCACCGATAAATTGATCACCCTTTCAGACCAACAATGTCAAATAACACTTCTGCAACAACTAAAAAGTGCTAGAAAATAACTAAGGTACGACTGGGGTAGTTTTGTTTTTTTAAAGGGGCAAAAGAGAAGAGGGGAAAAAAGAAAATGTGCCCTATTATCCACTTATTAAAAAGATGATCATCTATTACCCACTACATCAAAAACAAAACTGCATTACTTGATAACAGAAATATATTTATTTATCACGCCAAAAATAATAATATTCATTCTTTGATTTGATTAATGGAAGGGAGAGAAAAAGGATTATCAAGAAATGGACAAACACTCTCAGGCTACAACATGTATGCAACAGTCATACAATCAAAACACAGGAGCTAATAAATAATGTCAAACAAGGACAGAAACTCTTACTATGAAAACAGTAAGCTGGAGATGCAGCTTATGAAAAAATCTTAGAAGTGAGAATAAGGCAAAAATATGGCGGAAATAGAGTTACATCTTGTATTCAAATAAACACAGCAACTTCCATGTTATCCCAAAAGTAACACGCGTAACTAATCATTAACTGTACCTGAAAAAACAAAGGGAAACATCGAAACTTATATCACTATTTCAATATCTTGTGTATTAAAGCCATGCATTCTCTATTCTCGTAACTACCGTAAAATAGAAAATAGCACTACTAATTATATAAAAGTTTAACCCCAAAGAGAATCCTGCCCAACAAATTATAATTAACCTAAGATTCAAATTAGTAGTAGCAAATCTCTTTCCCTCCAACTGTAACAGTGAATGGTTTCCAAATATGTCATTTAATTAACTTAATTTATGAGTAGAATACCAGACTGCAGTTGGGCGGGCGAGTGCGTTGACATGAAGACAGAAGAGAATGGCAGACGAGTTGGACGAGAGCTGCAATAGTCGTGCCGATGGCAAATGATGGTGGAATGTTGTGTTGAGGGTTGGACAAGCCAGGCTGATTCATTCAACCATGCCAGCCCTGGTTGGGCAGGTTACCGATGGATTGGTGATAGTGGTGGTGATGGAAGGTTGTTGGTTTTTTGAAATTCCGTGTGAACACAGCAGCACACAATTTTTGAGCCTAAATAGCTGAGAAGGGTAGCACGCGGTACACGTTGCGTTGCGACGAGAAGCACCAACTATTCATATGGGGAGTTGTCGGGTTGTTCCCCGGTCATGTTGGTAGCAAAAACATGATGATCGGGTGTCTGGAACCAGAGGTGGTAGATCGGTAGGAGAAGAGTGAGCCCTGCAAATTGTGTCACATTTATCATCATTCGTCACCAGCACCTGCCCATTCCTTCAATACCTCAACATTAATATGTTAATGGCATTAGATAATGTTCCAAATCACTTGGCTCACCACAACATTATGGTTCCTTGGAACTCGCCTCATACACAATAAGGAACAAATAACAGCAGGTGCTCCTGTTACAATTGGCAGTTTAACTAGTTTGCAATAATTTGGAAAAGGCTCATAAATCCTGATGTATTAGCAATATTAATCTATTTCCTTTACCTTGAGTAGCGGGTAGGGCCAGATCCTCTTCGGCTACTGCCTCCACCCCCACGTCGACTACGTCCAGAGGACATCTCAACCCGAACTCTTGTTCCACACATTCTCCTAAAAAATATAAATGAAACAATAACCAATATGTTGACACAATAGTCTGCTGTATTACATAACGAAACTGAACATTTGAATCTAAAAAATTTTACACACAATTTTATAAATTATGACCTATTAAAAATAAGTTGCATCATAATCATTAGTTTTTCCCGCTTTTAATATAGTTTATTTTCTATTCTTCTGAGTATTTGAGAGATAGACCTCAACAGAAGCCGCCTTGCTGCACTTGGTTGTTCTTACTATGGTCCCTCCTACGGAGCATGCTATTTTGCCAGCCAATTATTACTAAAATTTCAATTACTTTTGACATGTTTCAGATACCTATATTTTGTCTAGCAGGCCTAGCAGATAACACTGGGTAGTTATACCCACATGAAAATTCTGAGTAATATACCTAGAGGCGAGTAAAATATTCCATGAACTTCAGAATTTCAGAAATGAATGAAGTTTCTTGGTATTGCATAGCCATGCATATTGCATATAGAATGTTCTATACACAATCAACTAGGTTGAAAGATCGGCCTAGTAGTAATTGACAAAATCTAATTGCAAAAATTGTTGTGTATATAAACACTCCACTGCCTCCAATACAAATCGTAATGTGACACTGATATTTCCATCCATCTTAATGTTCAAATACAGACTTCCAATACATATGAAAAAATTGTGCATGGCTAACCCTCATAACTTTCATATACAATCATTTTTAACAGTTTTTTTTAAAGTTATTATATTGTGAACCTCTCATTGTGGTAAAATTTTGTAAATGAAGTGACTTCAATAGAGTTTAAAAAATTTGCTTCAAATCTAACTGTTTGAAGTTAACCACTTCTAGTCGAATATCATCCAACCATTAATGTTGAAGTATTTGGAACAATGTTCATGGTTACGAATTTTGTTGAGCTGAAAATAAATTTTCACCATTGAATTGCATTTATGAAAATTATCACTACTGCATAGGTTAACTTCCACAAGTTTCATCCGGACACCCACAAAGAAAAAGCTCACTCCACAGCTTTGAAATAACCACTTGTAATCTATTACTTAAATAATTAATTGAAAATATTAAAAACTTCCTGATTTCTACAAAAATAAGTATGAAGTGTATGATTACGTAGAAATTGCATTAAAGAAAAATTCACAAACATAAACTACAAAAAGTGTCACATACCACTAGCTACTGAGAATCCCAACACCAACATTAATATTTCCCAGACCCCAAGAATTCATGTTCAACTAAAAGTATATTTACAAAAAACATCAATTGCCCACACATTAATATCCACAAACGGCACTTTTCACTATTCTAGTAAAATGAAGTCAGATTATATTCAAAACCACACACACCAATTTTGCACCACTAAACCAATATCAATATTTCAGTAGTGAAAGAAATTCCTTATGTGGGCACATACTTGTCTTCCACATAAAGCTTGCTTACAACTTGCGGATAGCAATGTCAGACAAAATCAAGACCAGCACAAAATAAGACAATACATACAATATTTAACAATGTATGAGTTTCACCATACTGGACACTCCAATTTGAATGCAAATTACTCTTCCTATTCATAAAAGGATGAATTTAATGTCTATTTACGTTAAACTTGCACCAAATATAATCTGGGAAGTCATTACTTTAAAATCCCTCACAGTAAAATTGTTTCCAGAGTACAAAAACTACTGAACAATGAAACACAAGTGAAAAACATTAATACTTTCTAAACCAAACCCATTTCAGATGGGATTTAAACAAAAAAAAAATTAAGTTGAATAAAAACAATGCAAAACTGGCAGATGAGATGATTTTGCCAATGGCCCCCTATTAAATATAGCTTGAACACATTAACAACTTATTCAACCATACCACAAATAACCATTTACTCTCAAATCCAACATTCACCCCTCAAAGGTTAAATAAACAAACAATCTGCAGAAAGGTATGTTTCGTACTTACGTTCCATCAAGTCCTCTTACTGCATCCTCAGCATCCCTTGGATCTTCAAATTCAACAAAAGCAAAGCCAGGTGGATTGCGAGCTACCCAAACATTTCTTAAGGGACCATACTTGCTGAAAGCCGACTCAATTTCATGTTTGGATGCACTACTACCCAGATTACCAACATATACTTTGCAGGACAGATCCCATTCACGATAGCGTGACATACTGAGAATCTGGAACAAAAATATTGGAGAACAAGTTCAACTAACAGCTTGTTCTTTTTCATTCTGAAAACTTAACATATGAACTTTATGAGAATGGCTCTGACACCATACTTCGCAGCATACATTATTAGTTGATTTAGGTAACCATTTTCATTACTTTAGACCCTCATATAAAAACATTCCAATCACAAGTGCAAGCAGTTATGACTAAACATTCACTTGAATAGTCCCAAAAGAAAAACTTGCTCCAAAAAACATAAACAAATGATGTGCAAAGTCTGATTCTAGTTGGATAGCATTTGCCCAACGAATTACAAGCCAAAATTTGCAGTGAAAACTCTTTGAGGGCTTAATATCATTCCAGTACCAAACTAAACCCAAACATTGTTAGCATGAGATTTACATTTTTGCTGCAAGTCAATTTACACAGGAAATTAAATCGGGACTGTCATCCTTAAATCGGGTCAATCGGGCACAGGAAGATCACATCTTTCTGAGAGACCTTCTCAGATTTCATGCGGGCTCGGGAAACAAAAATGTCAGTAATACAAGCAGGAAAACAAAACGTTAAGAATGTTAATTTTGCAAAAATGATTTTAAAGTAACTTTGAATCTGGAAAAAGTCTGCAAGGAAATTTGTTCTATGCTACTGTTCCCTTAACCCGCTAGTCATATTCGCTCATCTTAAGACTTACGTCGCAATCCACGCCGGTTTCTATTGCGCAAATATTAGAATTTCAAGTAAGAAATTGGAAATAATCACATTACATTCGAGCGGTATATTGCGAATACGATTTTAAAATCACAACTGAATGCTTCACGTGCATTATAAAACCACAAAAGATAATATAACAAATAAGGGTGCGGAAAATGCCGACTCGTCCGGAGCTTCGAAGATCGATCAGTGACATTGCAGTTACGCATTCGTAACTTCTAAATAGTAACCAATAAAGCCAAATTAGAACAACTTACTATATAAGAGTTGCATGTATTTCATTAAATATTCACTGATTTTCAATTATTTTTATCAAATTAGTTTTCTGGAAGTCGTGCGTAATTTCCCATCGCCATCTTGAAAAAATGCTACATGGCCAAACAAGACGCCACATTAAACTTTGTTCGCCGCACATTTTCACCAACGCCCACCTCAATATTCCACATTATTTGCTTTTTTCAACACGTTTTATTCCATTTACAGAAGGACGCTAATAACAAACGCAGCGAGTTATTCAAACCTGTAGCAAGTACAACGCTATGAACTTACAAAATGGCGGGTCCGGCGTAATTAGTTCTGGCATCTTCTATGAATTATGCAAATCTTTTCTTCCCAAATGCGCGAGATCTAGCAATATTGCAAAATATGTTGCAAATAATAAACTGAATGGAGGAATTCAGAGTTAATTCGAAATTTTTGGCACAAGTTGTGAGGGATTGGATGTAAATATGAATCTCGCAAACGCATCATTTACAACAAATTAATACCCGGCGCAATTCGGCTAAATAAACAAGCAGTACCGTTTATTCGGCCATTTACTGCGTTGCTACAATTTTAAAACTAGTTTTTATTCCACTCGTATTACTTATCACATATCCGCAGAATAGCACAGCGACCGAAAGAAATTTTATGAATGGACATTTTTCACACGATTCTCCACGAATATTCACATCAGCCTGACTAAAATAGAAAAGAAACACTGCAAATCACCAACATGGCGTATTATATTCCCCTTTACCTATAATCTTCACATCGCCTCTACAGCACACAAAATTGTAACATTCTAGCATTCTATACACGTTGGAACTTCTTTTACACCTAAAAAAGTAGACTTAAGCGTTCACGCAACTAAATTATTTCGGGAAATATATCACCTATGATTCTGTAAAACGATAAAACTCAATCGGATAAGTGGTCCACTTACCTGGGTAAAATGTAGAATGCAGCAGAAAGAGTGAAAAACCCAACAGGCGTCGTCCACAAGCGGTTAAACGAGACCGGTAGGCTGAGTGAACTACGACCGACGCCAACCTCACAGGATATGGAGAGCAAATGGCCGGGGAATAACCTTGGAAAGATACTCCTTATTGGCTCCCTCTGGCTCCGTTATTCGCTCCCTACATCGCTTCGAAGCAGCGCCATTGGTTGGTGCAGCCAACTCCCTTCCCTGCACACTTGTCGATGGAAATATCGATATGTGTATATACAATTGAACGCAATTGAATAAGTCAGGCATATGTAAAACCATCTAAAACCTAAGCCTAAACCAAAGAAGATTATGAATGGTTGACTTAATTATGATAAGGGTTACTTGAATGACTGATAATTGAATAAAAATTAACTGTTGACCATTTTTATGAATTTTTTTTGCCCCAACACACAAAGTTGTCGTAAATTACATGTGAAACAATATCATACGCGCACGCATAGAGTGTTTTGAACCAATATCAGGATGTAAGAGAATATATTTCTTATACCGTGACAATACCATTATAATTATAACTGAATAATAATTGTTTCGAATTTAATCCGTTAAAGAATATTGCTTAAAATGGCACAAGCAGCTAAGTAGGCCTAAATAGGTCTGTTACAACCCTGGAATTTTAGGTGTTCTTATGTATTTATTTTCTCTAGAAAATAGTGATATTGAATAAACCTGTATATTCGTACAGTGTTCTAATAATTATCTTCCTGATATATTTGATGGAAATTATGAACCAGGTTTTTATGGTTATGCTGTAATCAACATATTACTGTTCCAAAAGAACATTGAACAACTGCAAAACTGCACGCGTAGAACCAAGGGCCCATGAGGGTACACAGGTCCAATTGAAGTTAGTCTCTGTAAATGCTCAACATAATCAATTTTATTGACTACACAATCAGTAATATAAAATCATTCTGTTTTTAATCTCCTGAAAAAATTGTGATTTCTGCAGTTATGTAAATTTTTTGTGATAAAAGGATATACCAAAAACCAGGGATACTTCGACAGCGTTTTAATTTCATTACAACAAGCACACAAGACATTTGATGGCAACAAATTTTTCAACAATAAACAATTTTTGACAAAAACTAGAGTGTCAAAGTTACCGAATGGTTGGGGATTCTTTGATTACAGCTTTAAATTCATCACGAGAACTTTTATACGAGTTGCTTTGTAAATATGGTACTTCTGTATAAATTGACAGAATGTTTTATTGATAGAAATGAATATTTAATAAAAAAAAGTGTACATGGATAAATGGCTGAATTTTCCTTTATTTAATATCAATAAAAAATTAAAACCTTCTATCTCTTCTTTTTTAAACAAAAAGTGTATATTTAATATATCTGATTTTGACAGGACAAGAACAATTTCTCTTTTGTCTATAGTTTCATTGTTTACCTCTTGTGAATGATGTGAATATCTGGTGAATGAAAATAATTATCGTTGCAGTACAGTTTGTTATCCATCACAGATTTTGGAAAATATTTTGTTTAAACAATACAAAATCTGCTTATGAGCAATACTTGTTTTCACATTAACAGAGTACCGTTTTGTGAAATTTAGAGAGAATGAAAGAAACATTTCATTTATGTTGAAAGCTTAGTGTTTTCAATAATATCTAAAACCTCATATTTTTATATCAAAACATACTTAATAAAAGGAGAAGTGATGTAAGTTACAATACACATTGCACATGCATTTTCATTTTTTTCGTATAGAGATTAGCATTTTAAAAAAACCCAAAGAGACTGAGTACTTTCTGTTGCAGAGAGTTCTTGTTATATGGAGAGTGAGTATCAATGTTACATCCAATCATGAAATGTCTTTGTGAAAGAGAGTTTTTAATTTTTATTTTAATGATTTTTGTTATGAGAATAGACATTGTGTTTGGTAATATAAATACATTTATGAGTCGACCTGCACGGCCGAGGTGGCTTGAGCATGTGACGACCTAGGACCTCGGTCTGAAGGGTCATGAATTCGAGTCTTGCTGCGGAATGATTGTTTGTCCCTTGTCTTTCTTGTATGAGTATGCTGTTATGGAAGGCATATTGACTATTCTTACTACAAACTGAGGATCCCACATGTGTGTCTAGTGTAAAGGTCAATATTTGTCCACATGAGGGACATAGTGGGTACCCACTGCAGAAGAGGGAGAAAAGAAACGAAAAGACAGAAAAAAAAGTTTATGATCTTAATTGAATTTCTTTCAAACTCATCTCTTCAATTATAAAAGATTTTCCAGCTTTGGCATGTCAGCTTTCTACCAAGAAAAAGCAAAACATCTGGCAATGTTAGAAACTAAGAAACTGTTTTGTTAAAAATCTGCATGGTCTTCAATTAGAAATATCAAATTATTCAACAGTTCCTTTATGACTTGAATAAGTATTAAGAGAATACACAGTGACACACCCAGGGTGGAGGGGGAGTTTCACCTTCCCCCAGATGCTAATGATACACATTCAAAAGTAAGGCTTTTACTAATAAAAATATATTTTAAATTCAGAAAGAAGAATTCTTTTTAAAAAAGCATCTCCTCTGCCCTAAAAATCCTGGTTGTGCCTCTAAGACTATATTGTAAAACTTGCATCATGCCATTTTTACATATGCATAAAGAAAATTATCGATGCCAACCTGTTGGTTAGGGAGGATACACTAATAGAGTACCGCATAAGCAACTAAGCAATTGTTTAGGGCCTCAGTCAAATTGGGGAGCCTTCAAAAGATAAAATAGATTGATGTTTGTTACACATTAAAAAATAGCAATATTATCTAACTAATTAAATTTCAAAATATTTCTAAGAGTAAATAAGGTTGCCTATATACTTTTAATAATATTATTAATATTTATGAGTTCAAAAATATCAATCTTTCAAACTTTTGGGGATTCAATTTTCCTATCCAAAAGTATAATTATTCAAACCAACCAGCCTTTTCTTTAAGTTCAAGTTCATTATTTTCTTATGGTACTGCTATCGGAATTCTCCAAATTTCATGTTTAAACTTGACGATACAAAGATGTATAAAAATAAAATTGAAGGTATTGTGATATTTTAAGTTGCTGTGTCTGTGTTTATTATTTAACTGTATCTGTTTAAGTAAGTATTCATATACCTAATTATATATCATATATTTTGTCATCATAGATAAAGAATAAAAAAAGTTTGTTTATTGTTGAAATATTTTGATCAAAGTACACTGTTATATCATTTGCGTCCAAACTGTGCACAAAATATAACATGTATTTATAGTGACAAGGTACTTAAAAAACAGTAAAATAAAGGAGAAGTTTAATGTTCATAATTTTTTAAATATTTTGTAGCTATAAATACATGTTATGTGTAGATAGGACTTTGACGATATAAGTGTACAAAATAACATTAATAAAATATTGTAATTTTTCGAATTTCTGGATTTATTTAAAAAGTTCTACAATCCTGTGTATATGTTAGACAATTACCAAATAACGGTACACATTCGTGACCCTTCAAATTTTTAGTCCCTTCAGAGTTTTGTGTATGGTACATAAAATAGTTTGAAATGCACTAGAAAGTATATTTGTAAAGCTTCATAAAGAAACTGTAAGATTCTGAATTGCATGTAGTTGTTAATAAATTATTATAAATAAATGTAATATGCCAATATACTTGTAGTTTTAATAAAGTATTGTATAATCAATCCACGAATAGACATTTTTGCATTGAACTGGGGGTGGGGGTGGGGGAGGTGATACCATTAGTATTGTCCCCGGGTGACATGAACTGAAGCTACTATCCAAATAAAAAATTAACCTCTTAAAAAAATAACAAAGTGTCACATTTTTCTTTTGGCCAATATATTAATTCTTTGAATGAAACTCATTTTTACTAACATAAATCATTTTTATCAAATTTCACACCCATTGCAAATGTCCATCTATAATGCAAATAATTTTATTGTAGGTGATTTAATGGGTATAATCACAATTTAATATGAAGGGAAATTATCCAAGTGAATTTCAAAAACAAAAACTAGCCGAGGAAAGTTAGTTTCCCAAAAACATTTCGATACGATTTTCATTTCCGAAACTTATGACGAAATCTTACGAATAGTCAGTAAACTAAAAATAAATATTAATCTGGTTTAGATGAATTTCCGGATTGTTTATTGAAAACTTGTGTATCTGTCTTTATAAACCTGTTAACTCACATTTTCAATGCTTCTTTATGCACAGGAATATTTCCAGATATTAAAAAAAAAAAAAAAAAAAAAAAAAAAAAAAAAATTACCGAACAATTTCTCTCTTGTCAGGTCTAAAATATTAGAGAGGCTTTTCTACACGCAAATGGAAACTTTTCTCAGGAAAAGCGAAGCGTTTTCAGACTTGCAAAACGGTTTTAGAAAATAAAAATCTTCGGAAAGTACCATTTTTTCCTTTTCTTAACGGTGTTGCTTCATCGATGGACCAAACTGAAGCACCCATGTGAATATTTTTAGACCTTTAGAAAGCTTTTGACGTTATTGACCATAACATCTTGCTATCAAAATTACCTTCTAATGGAATTCGTGGTATCAGCCTAGATTTAATAACCTCGTACTTTAAACAACGATCTCAAAGAGTAGAAATGCCGTACTGGCACAAAAAGACATTATTTACTAATCTTTCCAATTCTTCGGGATGAATGAATATGGGGTCCCGCAAGGCTCGATCTATGGTCCTATCCTTTTTCTGTTATACGTAAACGATATGCCTTCGTCTATTAAAAACGGAAGAACGGTTCTGTTTGCCAATGACACAAATGTTCTTTGCAAATAAGAAACAATAAATCGTTTCAGAAGTTTCAAATTGGTTTTGTAATAACAAATTAGTAGTTAATTAAGGAAAGACAG